CAACCGCCTAAAAATCTTCCTACACAAGTTAATAGCCCCAGACCAGACTGGCTTTGTCCCTGGCCGCAATATAACAGACCCCATCAGGAAACTACTGAACCTGATCGAACACAGCAAGGCAACCAAACTCCCATTGACAATTATGTCCCTAGACATCCTCAAAGCCTTTGATTGCTTAGAGTGGAAATACATATTAGCAGTACTAACTAACATGAAATTTGGCCCCAACTTCCTACAAATCCTCAAACAAATATACTCCCAAGCCTCAGCAAAATGCAGAACTAACAATATGGATTCTAATACTATAGCTATCCAAAGAGGCACGAAACAAGGATGCCCACTGTCTCCCTTCTTATTTATCCTGGCTCTGGAACCCCTAGCAATCCGCATCCGAGCAGCCACAGACATCAAGGGAGTGGAAATAAAAGGCAGAACCTATAAATTAGGGCTCTTTGCAGATGACCTAATGGTCACAACACCAGACCCCATAAGCACAGCAACCTCCCTAATCAGAGAACTCAACACATTTGCAATGGTGTCGGGCCTACAGGTAAATTTCACAAAGTCAGAAGCTATGTGCTTCAACACCCCTCCTCACACCCAAAAAGAACTCACGAAGGTCACCAAAATAAAACTTTGCCACACCAAGTTCAGATACCTAGGGGTACAAATAACCAGAAACCTCAATAAATTGTACCTCCACAACTACAAGCCCCTGTGGCGACAAATTAACAAAGACCTAAAGAGATGGAACAACATGAATTTCACTCTCTCAGACAAAATAGCCATGATCAAAATGATCACACTCCCAAAACTAACCTACCTATTCCAAACCCTCCCAATCTGGATCCCCTCAACCCAACTTCGCAGTTGGCAGAGAAAACTACACTCTTTCATCTTCTCCCATAAAAAACCAAGAATAAGCCCCAAATACCTGCACCTCCCCACCTCAGAAGGAGGATGGGGAATCCCCAACATAGAAGCATATTACATTGCCAACCAAATACGCCATATAATCCCATATATACTAGAAGATGAGACAAAACAATAGATACACCTAGAGAGGGACACAATTGAAAATACCTGCACTACAGCATACCCTTTCCTCCCAAACAAACTAAGGAAAATTCCCACAACACTTAACAGGTACACACAGACCACGCTCAAAACATGGAGAACACAAATAGGCAAACTATCCCCAACCCCATCCCCACTAACCCCCCTGGCGTACCACCCATTAACCCACCATGCAGCACAAAACCTCCAGATAAAAACCTGGCGAGCCAAAGGCTTATATCGCCTAATAGACTTTTATAAAAATGACAAACCCCTGTCAACACAAGAAATACAAGACAAACTAGAAGACACCCAAATGCCCTGGTTAACACAACACCAACTACATGCCCTCTTAAACAACCCAACAGTAAAATCAGCAGCAACTAGGCCCCTGACAACCTTCGAAAACCTCCTCCTAACAACAAAGGGAAACGGTAAAGGGATAGTATCCGCAATATACAAAATACTGCTCCAAAATCTCGCAAATCCCCTAGACGCAATCAAAAATCAATGGGAGAATGACATAGGCTATGAGATAAACCCCACTCAATGGACCAGAATGTGGTCTAAACCCCCCTTTAAATCCATATCAACGAAAAGAAAAGAACTCACACTGAAACTCACCTACAGGTGGTACCTAACACCAAGGAAACTAGCGCTAATACACCCAGGAACCTCACCAAAATGCTGGAGAGGGTGCACCTCCACAGGCACATACCTCCACATGTGGTGGGAGTGTCCCAAAATCCAACTATTCTGGACAACAGCCGTACAAGAAATATGTACAATAACTAAGCAAGTAATAGACATCACCCCAGAATTGGCCCTACTAAACATCTTCCAAGACAACAATGCCCATTTACACCACAAAGAACTCATAACCCACCTGCTCTCAGCAGCCAGAAATACCATAACCAGACACTGGAGAGACCTGTCAGGAGTAAGCATGGACCAATGGTACCAAATAGTATGGGAAACAGCCCTACTAGAAAAATTAACTAATAAATTGAAACTGACACGGGGACAAACAGAAGAAGACACCTTCACCCCGGTATGGCTCCCCTTTATCACACACACAGCCCAACAGGACAATGACAATAATCCACCAACAGCATACAAATCAATATGGCTAACCTGATCCAAAGCACCCACCCACCTCACTCACACACGAAAACAAAGATCACCACAGCCAATCACAAGCAAACAATCACACCCTAGGCCAACCCCAACCTCTCTCACCACCAAAGGAACACAAGTCAACAACACAAACAACACTGACACCAAACTCTACATACATTAAACATAATAGAAACACCGCCACCCGACCCCACCCCCATCCATCTTCCCTCTCTCCACCCCCCTTTTCTTCCCTCTTTCTTTTTTCTTCTCCCCCTAATGCCTCAACAAATGAAATGGATTTGTAAAAATGTTACATGAAAGAAAAAAAAAGATACGAGGCACTACACTTCTGTAAAACAAGAAAATCCTTAATAAAATATTATTTAAAAAAAAAGCATGCATAAGAAAATATTACTCATTTATGATGAGAATAGGATTAATTTACTTTTGAACCTCACTGGGTTCCTCCTTGGCAGCCAGTGCGATTGTTTCAGCAGGGCTAGAACTCAGGACCCGCTGCCTTGAGGGACATCTAAGAGCAGTTGGGCAGGGGAAAGGTCTCCCTTGGGAGGTGGGGGACTCTCCTTCCTTGGAGGTTTCTCAGCAGAGATCGGACGGCCATCTGCCATGGATGCTTTAGCTGAGATTCCTGCATTGCTGGGGGTTGGACTAGATGACCCTGGGATCCCCTCCTATCTCTCCACTCCGGAATTCTAGGAGGAGCTTCCTTGCCTCCTGCAAAGCCCTTTTCCCTGCAAGCTCTTCCTCTGGTTTCTGGACAAGGGAGGGAGATGCTCAGAGTCCAGCCAAGAGCCTCACCCCCAAAAGGATATCTGGGCATTGGCGAGCCAGGGGGGCAGCTGCCCCCTTAATCCATAAAAAATAATAAGAATCTGAGGTTCTGCCAAGCGAGAAAGGGCTGAGCTGGAGGGACTCGGCATGGCAAGGGTTAAAGGGAAGTGTGCTGCCTTCCTAGAGAGGACAGGAAGGGAAGTGAGCTGCCTTCCTAGAGAGGACAGGAAGCAAGGGGGGGCAGGTCCTCCAGAGCCAAGGCCCCTCCCTCCCCAGTCCTTTCCTTGCTTTGGGGTCTCTCCTGCAAGGGCTGCCTCGCTGTCCCCTCCCGGGATCTGGTGAGTCTCCTCTCTCTCCCCCCAGAGGGTGCAGTGGGGAGACGGGGGGGGGGTCCCAGGGCTGCAGCTGGGGAGGATGCCTGGGGGGCCTGATCCGGGAGGGGCCAGGTCTGCCACGCTCTCCTTCCTGGAGATCAGAGGATCCCAAACTCACTTGGCCCTCCGCGCCCCCCCCTTTCTGAAAATATCTCCCTTCTTTAAACAAAGGAGTCCCTGGGACTTTAACTCTGTGTGACATCGCTCAGCCTCATTGCGCAACAGAGGAAACATGTGCAAATGGTTTTCCAAAGCTGGAGGAGGAGGTGAACTAGCCCCCCCCCAAATAAAACCCCACATGGAGGAAGGAAGGAAGGAAAGGTGAGAGAGAAAGGGCAGGAATAAAGAGAGGGATCCCAGGCCATAGTCTGGCTGCTGCATTGCGGACCAGTTTCCCAGTCATCTCCCAGGGCAGCTCCCCACGGAGGCCACTGCAGCAATCCCCTCGCAGCCAGAGCATGGCATCCCAGGACCACATCCTCTCTGTCCCAAAGGGATTGTTGCTGGCAAAGCAGCCGGAAATGCTACTCACTGACCCTCCTGGGACCTTGGCATCAGTGGCTGTGTGTGTGTGTGAAGCTATCTAACAAAATAATAATAATAATAAATTACCCGCCTAAATGTCAATGGAGATGTTTTTGGCCCTGCCCACTTGGCCCTCAGGGGGTTGATCAGATACATACCTGGCCCTCAGAGCAAAGAAAAAGGGACCCCACCCCAGGAGTCTGTCTTGAGAGCGGCAGAGAGTCCAAGTGCAAGAAAACGAGACAGAAGCAGGGGAGTGGGGGTGGGGAGCAACTCCTGAGGACACCCAGGTGAGGACCCCACTAGAGCCAAGCATCCGTTTTTCACAAGATACAAATGACTCCCTTGCCATTCGGTTCTGATTTCATGCATTGACTGGAAGGCAGCAGAAACCATGTTGATTAATCTGACAGAAATCCCTTCAGTTGTCTCCACATTTTGCATTGCTAGAAGGCTAGAGACTTAGTTCTTCTCCTCTTCCTGCTCTTTCTTTTCAAAAAGATAGCTCATGGTCTGGGATGCGGTGCAGTCCAGCCCTGGTTCCCAGCAAGACTCATCCATGCTTGCTCAGGGAAACATTTCTTTTCCTGTCCTACAAATTTGTAACACAACAATGTATTTGCTTTGTAGGATTTGCTACAGCTTCTCATTTAGAAGGGCAGAACTTGGCAGAAGACCAAAGGGTTCCTTCCGATCTCTCAAAGGCTTCCTGAGAGCACAAATGGATGAGCAAGATTCAGCTGGCCCTGAGGCAGGAAGAGGCCATGGCAGCCAAACTGGGAGCAGTGGGGGATTCTGGGAAAACCCAGTGCAGAAGATCCTGGGTGAGGAGGACACCCTCCGCTCAGAGGTGCAGAGTCAGCAGTTGAGGCAGTTCTGCTGCCAGGAGGCCAAAGGACCCCGAGAGGTTGGCAGCCGACTCTACAACTTTTGCCACCAGTGGCTGAAGCCAGAAAGGCACACGAAAGCTGAGATGCTGGACCTGGTGATCTTGGAGCAGTTCCTGGCTGTCCTTCCCCAGGAGATGGAGAGCTGGGTGAGGGACTGCGGAGCGGAGACCAGTTCCCAGGCGGTGGCCCTGGCCGAAGGTTTCCTCCTGAGTCAGGCAGAGGAGAGAAAGCAGGTGAGAGAGACTTCCCTCTGGATACTCCCAAGGGGCTCCAAACAGGACAGAGAACATCCCATAATGCTCTGCTGCTGGCCAATCCGTTTTCTGGGAATGCATCCATGGAATGAGATATCACAGCCTTCAAGTCTTTGCCATTCTCTTTCTAATATTTCTCACCATTCTCTATTTTGAATCCTAATTTATTTTCAGGGAAAGGATCTCTTTGCAGAAATGGACCTGGATTCCTGTGAGGCAGAGAGGCCTCCGTTGGACATCAGAGAGAGGCCACTGGGTAAGGAGGAAGGTGGTTTTTCTCCATTTGGTCTCATTCTGTTTGTTTTCCAGCTCATCTGTGAGTTGTTTTCATCTTGTTTTGTGGGGAGACAGTTGGGAACAAGGGTCCAGAAGAGGGGAGATGTATTTCTGCACAACTAACATATGAAATGGGCACAAACGTCCAAATGCTCTCAGTAGGTAAGGATTTCTCAAAAGCCCATCTGTAGTAAGAGATGCCCTGTTTCACCTGTGAGAGAAGCAGGCACTCCTGGCGTCCTGTTTACCTTTTATCTTTTGCAGGTGACAGAAGGATGCCAGCAAGACTTCCTGATCCGTCTTTTCATGGGGACAGAAGAGAAGCAGTGGCTGTGAAACCAGATCAGGTCAGGGGAAGCTGCCTTGTGGCGACAGATGCTGAGGGATGGAGCAATGTCATGGACTGGTTGGGCACAGAGGAGTGGTGGGAGGAAGCAGCCGGGGAACCAGGAAGGGAAGACTGCTCAGAGCCGAAGGAGTGGAGGTAGAAGAAGGATGGGTAGTCAGAGGGGGAAGAGGGAGAAGCCTGGGAAGAGGAGGTGTCAGAAGATGAAGGTGTTACAGGGCTTAGTGAGCTGGGAGACTCTGTGGCAGAATGCAGTGCAGAATCAGAGGCAGAAGAGGAAGGAGGCGAGTGGGAGGAGGAAGGTCAAGAGGCTGAGGTGAGTCAGGAGAAGGAGGAGCCACCGGTGACTCCCTCTCCTTTTGCCAGAAGCACCCCCTCCCTGCTTGTCTCTCAGAGCCAGGAGACCCCCTGCAATGGAGGAATCTCTGCTAGATCATCCAAGACAGATGGCCATCCAAACTAGGCTTATTTTGTTTCTAGATTGATCACTGACTGCTCAGATTGGTTTCTAAGCAGTGGACAAATGAGAACAAATAGTGGCCTGGATTTACCTAACCAGCCCCATTGGCTGCAAAAAGGGGCCTGCCCCCCCATTCCTCCCGCTCTCCATGCCCCCATGAACCCCTGGAATTTGGCTCTAGGGCATTGGGAGGGAACTCCCCAGAACAGCTCAGAAGGAGAGGAGAAAGTGGACCCTTCCATCGGGGAAACTGGAATTCTAGGCAGAATGACTTGGAAAACACAAGGTGGAGTGCCACCTATATGCACAAAGACGAATACCCATAATTAAAACTTAGAATAAAATAAGCATCCAGAATTAAAATGTGCAGCAAAGCAATCCTATTGAAACAACTCCCCTGCGTGAGTGCCTGAGGGCCCTGCTCCTGCCACTCACCACCTGGCCCAGGGCGGGGCCTAACAGGCCTCACAAGGACGGTTGCTGCTGCTGCTGCTGCTGGCCAGGAGGACTCGGAGCAATGTTCTTTTTAAAGTGTTTTAAAAATTTCCTTTTTTCCCTTTTGATTACTTTTTTGTGTGGAGGGTGGCATGGTTGTTTTTTTTTGGGTTCGGGAATTAGATTTTTTTTTATAAGGGTTTTATTTTGTTCTTAAGGGGAGGGGTCAGGGCTGCCAGGGAGTGGGTCCCAGCCCACAAAATATCTGGGGCATGTTCCAAGGGGGGCGGGATGCACTGGGACAACCGATCTCAGTGATCCCGGGTAGGAGGAGGAGGTAAGCTAAGACCAGACCATGTCATTACAGAGGAAGCAGGTTTAGTCGTTGTTTGAGGACTATCCCTGCCTCCAGGTCTGGTCCTGACTGGACGGATACTAGAATCAGCAAGGGATACATGACCTGAAGGTGCTGCTGTTCAATGCCAGGTCAATGATTCATAAAGCCACTGCCATCCGTGACTTGATCATGGATGGAGGACTTGACCTGGCATGTGTAACCGAGACTTGGTTGGATGAAGCAGATGGGCCCTCTTCGATTGCATGGAGCCTGGACAGCCCCATGGTTTTCCATGGATCTGAGGGCAATGAAACAATCGCTGAGATGGCTAGAGCGCCGGTGGCGGATAACTCATTCTGAAGGTGACCAGACATGGGTTAGAGCTCAATGTCGACCCTACTAAGTGGCGGTAGTGACGGCGAAGAAGACTTTCTGCATCTGCAGAAAACAGCAGCAGGAGGCTTTTTCAGGTGGTTTGCAATTTAGCGGAACCACCTGCTACAACGGGGCCCAGTATGGGCCACATGATCTCCTGCAATGATTTTGCAAAGTTTTTTGCAGACAAAGTCGCTCAGATTCAGGAAGAGGTAGACTCCACCGTGGAGCAGGGCCGGGGCGGGAGAGTGCTAGTGTCCTGTCTAGTCAAGTTGCGTGGGATCAATTCCAATCTGTTACCTCCGAGGATGTGGACAGGCTGCTTGGACGAGTGAGACCAACCACCTGTCTCCTTGATCCTTGCCCATCGTGGCTTATAAAAGCTAGCCGGGAAGGGCTGGGCGATGGGCTTGGCGAGGTGGTGAATGCTTCTCTCTGAGGGAGCCTTCCCAGACCCTCTGAAAGAGGCGGTTATCAAACCGCTTATTAAAAAACCATCTTTAGATGCTGCCAATATGGCTAACTATTGCCCAGTCTCAAATCTTCCATTCTTGGGCAAGGTGATTGGGCGAGTGGTTGCTGAACAACTCCAGGCACGCCTGGAAGAAGCAGACCATTTGGATCCCTTCCAGTCAGGATTCAGGCCTCATCATGGGGACTGAAACTGCCTTGGTCGCACTGGTTGATGATCTCTGGCGGGCTAGGGACAAAGGTGAGAGCTGTTTCCTAGTTCTGCTGGATCTCTCAGCGGCATTTGATACCGTCGACCATAACATCCTTCTGGACCGTCTTGAGGGGCTGGGAGCTGGGGGCACTGTCATACAGTGGTTCCGCTCCTTCCTCCTGGGCCGTGTTCAGAAAGTGGTGGTGGGGATGAGTGTTCAGACCCCTGGGCTCTCACTTGTGGGGTGCCTCAGGGTTCCGTCCTCTCCCCCATGCTTTTCAACATCTACATGCAGCCGCTGGGAGAGATCATCAGGGGGTTTGGGCTGGGTGTTCATCAGTATGTGGATGACACCCAACTCTACATCTCTTTCAATTTGGAACCAGTGAAGGCAGTGAAGGTCCTCTGTGCGTGTCTGGAGGCAGTTGGAGGATGGATGGCGGCTAACAGATTGAGGTTGAATCCTGACAAGACAGAAGTACTGTTTTGGGGCGACAAGAGGCGGGCAGGTGTGGGGGACTCCCTGGTCCTGAATGGGGTAACTGTGCCCCTGAAGGACCAGGTGCGCAGCCTGGGAGTCATTCTGGACTCGCAGCTGTCCATGGAGGCACAAGTCAATTGTTTATCAGCTCCATCTGTTATGCAGGCTGAGACCCTACCTGCCCGCAGACTGTCTCACCAGAGTGGTGCATGCTCTGGTTATCTCTCACTTGGACTACTGCAATGTGCTCTATGTGGGGCAACTTTTGAAGGTGACCCGGAAGCTACAACTAATCCAAAATGCGGCAGCTAGACTGGTGACTGGGAGTGACCGTCGAGACGATATAACATCCGTCTTGAAAGACCTACACTGGCTCCCAGTACGTTTCTGAGCACAATTCAAAGTGTTGGTGCTGACCTTTAAAGCCCTAAACGGCCTCGGTCCAGTATACGTGAAGGAGCGTCATCACCTCCATCGTTCTGACACTGAGGTCCAGCGCTGAGGGCCTTCTGGCGGTTCCCTCGCTGCGAGAAGCCAAGTTACAGGGAACCAGGCAGAGGGCCTTCTCGGTAGTGGCACCCGCCCTGTGGAACGACCTCCCACCAGATGTCAAAGAGAAAAATAACTACCAAACTTTTAGAAGACATCTAAAGGCAGCCCTGTTTAGGGAAACTTTTAATGTTTAATAGATTATTGTATTTTAGTGTTTTGTTGGAAGCCGCCCACAAATACCCATAATTAAAACGCAGAATAAAATAAGCACCCATAATTAAAATGTGCAGAAAAGCAATCCTATTGAAACAAAACCGCAATTAACAGGAAGGAAACAACAGAGCATTGTGTAGCAGATCATATTTCTGCTGTCTCAGAGGAGGACATTTCCCTTTTTCTTTTAGGGTCCGGTGTGCTTTGAAGATGTCGCTGTTCGTTTCACGGACGAGGAGTGGGCGTTGCTGGATCCTGACCAGAGAGCTCTGCATAAGAACGTCATGGAGGAGAATCGTGGGATCGTGGCCTCTCTTGGTAAGGCTCTCTGTGGGATCGTCATATCTGCCTGGAAATTCAAAAAATATCTTTATGGGACCAACCTCATATATTCTCACAGAGCTCAACAGCGCCCCCTATAACACCTGGGAACCGAACACTCCCACAATAAAGAGTAAATTACAGTTTTTTCTTTGAAGAATCTTTCTCAAATTATTCCTTTTTCTGCCAGGATTGGGCTGGTCTGAACTTCCCAGGCCATCTTCAATGTCAGCTTCAGAATTGTTAGGAAAGCTAAGTAGCTTCAGGTTTTCTGTTTTTGCTCCTCTCAGTCTTGGGTTGACCAAAGAGACGACTGTCAGCGAAGCTCAGGTGCTGCCAGCCAGAGAAGAAGCAGGCCTAGGGAGAGGAGACTTAGCAGCGGAAGGCAGAGAGGAGGGGGAGAGGAACTGTCGTCTGAGCTCTGAACAAAGGGGAGAAGAAAAAGGGAGACAGAGTGACAGACAGCTGTGTGAGAGCTACAGGAGTGAGTCAGACGCTGGAATGCAGGAAGCATTCTCTGCCAAATTTAAAGATACTGGAAGAGAAGGTGGGGGCTTCCTTGCTGGGGAAGGGGGAGGAGCTCAGTCTGTACAACTCCATCTTGTGGGGAGGACGATGAGTAGAGGAGCTCTGTCCAAGTTTGTTGTTTTAGCAATAAATCTGAAATTATTAACAGAGTCGTCTCACGTTTGTGGGAGAGACCAAGCCATAACAAGGACTGACATTGGAGATGGAGGGGATGCCATGACTGGGCCAAAGTCCATCCCAGAGAAGAGCTAGGCTTATGGGATCTCAGGTAGCGGTAGCAGTAGCAGTGATGAGGATGAGGATGATGATACAGTGGTACCTCGGTTTACAAACTTAATTTTTTCCAGAACAGGTAGCACTGTAGTAATAATAATATTTTTTTGTAATGGCTTGGCTCTCCCACAGAAGTAAGACACCGGCAGTAATTATCTCAGGTTTATTGCTCAAACACATAAATCACTCCGGAGCTCTTTCACTCTGTGTCTGACTTCCAAGTTTGCAGTTGCCAAGTCTAAACTCTGCCCCTTCTTCTTCTTCCAAGAGGGGAATAAACCCTTTCGCTTCCCCTCTTTCCCCCTCCTCTCACTGACCTTTTCGCGCCTTCTAGTTTTTGGGCTAGCCATTCCTGGCCTCTCCCCTTCTGTCTCTGAGCTAAGATTGGTATTTTGTGGATCTTTCCTATCTGCTGCCTGCTCTCTGTTCTCTGAAGCTCTGCCACTCGGCTGCCCCTCCTCCCTCTCACATTCCGGCTCACATTCCAGTGTCCTTATCTCTCTTTGCCTGCTTTCATACATTCCAGCCTCTGTCAGCTCCGGAACAAAGCTGACATTTTTATTTCTACCCTGCCCATCTCTGGGCGGCTTCCAACACATATATAAACATGAAACATGAATAATAATATTCTGATCCCATATAAAAAGAACATTAACTTAAAATGAACAACTTATACTGGTGGCCAAAATTGTGGAAACCTTTTGTGAAAAGTGTATTTCTGAGGTTTGATGGCTCCTAACACCACTTTTGTGTGGAGTAATACCATAAAATTATATAGCAATGGAAAGATAATTTAATGAAGACTGTAATGCGATGACTTTTATGAAGGAGTATTTATTAGAACAGCAGTCATAAAGAAAAAACGTGAAACCTTTGGTAACCATTGTTAACCTTTAGTTTTCATTACGGCCTTACAACACCTTCCCATGAAGTGAACCAAGTTTTTAGTTCTGCAGCTGTAAGAATGTGAAACCAAGAATGAATTATTGCCTCTGTTGATTGAGCCTTATTGCTGGGTTGCCTCTGATTAACAAGTTTCTTTCATCAGCTGCATAGATTTCCGATTGGATTAAAGTTTGGGCTATTCCCAGGCCATTCCGGGAGTGGAATGGGATCATCTTGAAAGCACCGTTTGCACACAGCAGCAACAGGTCATGGAGCTGAATCCTGTTGAAATAAATAAATAAATATGCTTCAGTATCTGGGGAAAGATCACCTGCGGAACACTTCAGTTTGGGCTCAAGCATTTCATTTATGTATTTGGGGGGGCGTTTAAAGTTAAAGGGACCCCTGAGTGCTAAGTCCAGTGGCGAACGACTCTTGGGTTGTGGCGCTCATCTCGCTTTATTGGCCGAGGGAGCCGGCGTACAGCTTCCGGGTCATGTGGTCAGCATGACCAATCCTCTTCTGGCGAACCAGAGCAGCGCATGGAAATGCCGTTTTAAACCAACCAACCTGTTAGCAATCAACCAACCAACTTGTTGGGAATCACGTAACACACTGACAAAAGTCAACCTAAGCATGTTGTACTTCCTTTTTCTGCTTACTTGGCTATAATGTTTGATAGAATACAGATAATTGAACAAACTTTCTTGGATTGCATTCTTGATTAAATTATCTTCCCACTGATAAATAACTTTATAATATTACTCCAAAAGAAGTGGGGTTATGAGCCATCAAACCTCTGAAATACACTTTTTCCCAAAAGGCTTCCACAGTTTTGGCCACTGTTGTTGTTGTTTAATCGCTTAGTCGTGTCAGACTCTTTGTGATCCCAGGGACCAGAGCACGCCAGGCACTTCTGTCTTCCACTGTCTCCCGCAGTTTGTCCAAACTCATGCTGGTAGCTTCGAGAACACTGTCCAACCATCTCGTCCTCTGTCGTCCCCTTCTCCTTGTGCCCTCCATCTTTCCCAGTATCAGTGTCTTCTCCAGGGAGTCTTCTCTTCTCGTGAGGTGGCCAAAGTATTGGAGCCTCAGCTTCAGGGTCTGTCCTTCCAGTGAGCACTCAGGGCTGATTTCCTTCAGAATGGATCAGTTTGATCTTCTTGCAGTCCATGGGACTCTCAAGAGTCTCCAGCACCAGAATTCAAAAGCATCCTTCGGCGATCAGCCTTCTTTATGGTCCAGCTCTCACTTCCGTACATCACTACTGGGAAAACCAGAGCTTTAACTATACGGACCTTTGTTGGCAAGGTGATGTCTCTGCTTTTAAAGATACTATCTAAGTTGGTCATTGCTTTTCTCTCAAGAAGAGAAGAAGAAGAGTTTGGATTTGATATCCCGCCTTTCACTCCCCTTCAGGAGTCTCAAAGCGGCTAACATTCTCCTTTCCCTTCCTCCCCCACAACAAACACACTGTGAGGTGAGTGGGGCTGAGAGACTTCAAAGAAGTGTGACTGGCCCAAGGTCACCCAGCAGCTGCATGTGGAGGAGCGGAGACTCGAATCCCGTTCCCCAGATTACAAGACTACCGCTCTTAACCACTACACCACACTGGCTCAAAAAGCAGGCGTCTTTAAATTTCGTGACTGCTGTCACCATCTGCAGTGATCATGGAGCCCAAGAAAATAAAATCTCTCATTGCCTCCATTTCTTCCCCTTCTATTTGCCAGGAGGTGATGGGTCCAGTGGCCATGATCTTCGTTTTTTTGATGTTGAGCTTCAGACCATATTTTGCGCTCTCCTCTTTCACCCTCATTAAAAGGTTATTTAATTCCTCCTCACTTTCTGCCATCAAGGTTGTGTCATCTGCATATCTGATATTTCTTCCGGCAATCTTAATTTTGGCTTGGGATTCATCCAGCCCAGCCTTTCACATAATGAATTCTGCATATAAGTTAAATAAGCAGGGAGACAGTATACAGCCTTGTCGTACTCCTTTCCCAATTTTCAACCAATCAGTTGTTCCATATCCAGTTCTAACTGTAGCTTCTTGTCCGACATAGAGATTTCTCAGGAGACAGATGAGATGATCAGGCACTCCCATTTCTTTAAGAACTTGCCATAGTTTGCTGTGGTCGACACAGTCAAAGGCTTTTGCATAGTCAATGAAGCAGAAGTAGTAGCGTGTGAAATGAGTGCAATTGTGCGGTAGTTGGAGCATTCTTTGGCACTGCCATTCTTTGGGATTGGGATGTAGACTGATCTGCTCCAATCTTCTGGCCACTGCTGAGTTTTCCAAATCTTGCTGGCATATTGAGTGTAGCACCTTAACAGCACCATCTTTTAAAATTTTAAATAGTTCAGCTGGAATATCATCACTTCCGCTGGCCTTGTTATTAGCAGTGCTTTCTAAGGCCCATTTGACTTCACTCTCCAGGATGTCTGGCTCAAGGTCAGCAACCACACTACCTGGGGTGTATGAGACATCCATATCTTTCTGGTATAATTCCTCTGTGTATTCTTGCCACCTCTTCTTGATGTCTTCTGCTTCTGTTAGGTCCTTACCACTTTTGTCCTTTATTATGGTAATCTGTGTACAAAGTGTTCCTTTCATATCTCCAATTTTCTTGAACAGATCTCTGCTTTTTCCCAGTCTATTGTTTTCCTCTATTTCTTTGCATAGCTTCTCTGAGTTATTCAAGTCCCTTCGCCACGGCAAGGCAGTGATCCATGAAGGGGATTTTGATCACTACTGTGTATCAAAGAAAGCAACATTCAACAATTCATCAGAATCCAATAATAAATGTGTTGGTTAATGACAAACAACACAGGTAATGAACACATACCCAATTTGACACGCAGTGTAAATTAATAATGCTGAGTTTCTAAGTGAAAGAATAAGCTTTACTGAGTTAAAATAAACTTCTTCATAAAAACATGGTTCCAAACAGTTTGACTGAGATTACATACTGACTCTGCTCACAACTGAGGCGGACTGACTCTGACTGAAATCTTACAGAGAACACAGAGAGAAAATGGCTGCTAAGTCACATGTCAGTTTGACTCAACAGTTAGCAGTTAGACCTGAATGACTTTAGTAGACCCGAATTATAGAGCAGCCCCAGCACCTCCCAGCCTGTTTCCTGCTTCTGCTCTCATGTGTCTTTGTCATATGACACAACTCCCTTCAGTTCTTCTCCATTTATTCCGGAGGCTCTAATCCATTTTTGTC